TCCTATGATTCTATGATTCTATGTGAACTATCAAAGGAATTTAAGGGTAAGGTATTGGTTCAAATTTAGTCAGTTCACACCACCAACTACAGTTTTGTCTATTGCTTATGTTCCTGTTCCATCTGAATGATGTGACATTCTGGAGTACCTACCTTCCATGGAAACCTGAAAATAGCTTCTTTAGGTGGACATCTGTCAAAGATATTTATTTCATATTTAGGGATAATAATCACAGTGACGTCAGAAACTACTTAAGACAATGCAGATTTCACATGAAAAGCAAGTAAAATCAAAGAGAGAAACTCAAGGAAGAGGTCTTAGTTTTTGAGTATTTTCTCTTGAAAATTGAAGGCTCTTATCTGAGAGTGAATCAAAGTTTTCATAAATTGTTACCTGTTACCAAAATGAAACAATACAATAGTATAACAATAGTTAATATAGTTGTAAGAGTGAAAATAGTGAGCCATTTTTCTTTCATTCTATTTAATACTGAACTATTGACCTATGAAACATGGGTGATTAAATGGCAAGGCCAGAATGCCAAAGGCAGCTTTGCTTCTCCTTCTTAATTTGCTGATGCAGTTTAAACCACATCCCTTACAAAGTTGTTGCTTACTGGAAACCTCCAGTGGCTGATAAGCTACTCTCATTCTGTGTCCATAAGTGGACAAAATTCACCTGCTGTTCATGTCAGTGAATATGCTGATGTGTCCTCTCTTTGTTAACTGTTTAAACTTTTAGGTCTGTTCAGTATGTAATATCTAGAAATCACTATTGTCCTCTAATTGGTGAGATGGGAAGTACTGGCATCACTCTCAGGACCTGAATTCAAAATATCTTGTTACCATGGCATCCAGATGCCAATTTGTAAAAGAAATGCTATTGTTCTGCATTAAACCATGGTTTTTTTCTGACAATTTAAAAAAAACAGGGATTCTGGTGGGGGGTATTTGTTACTGGTTGTTGGCTGGGTTTTCGGTTTTTCTTCTCCCTATTCATTTTACATCTGACAGCAATTCTGTTACTGCCTTGAGCAGCTGAGCTATGTTGCATATAATTTTTTTTACTGTAGGCAAAAGGAAGGAACTGCTGCTAATAATTTTTGCTTTAACAGGATGGGAAAACAGCAGAAGATCTTGCCAGAGCAGAGCACCATGAACATGTCGCGAGTCTGCTTGCAAGACTTAAAAAGGTTAGGAATGCATGAATTTTATCGCAGTTTTTCATGGGTTTTAAAATAATAAGAGTTTGACCATGGGAAATCATATGGTAAGATATTCATCAAAGCCATCAAAAAAGCTGTTTCAGAAATCCCTATTGGAATGGCTTCTCTTTATGTGCCTATTAGCAAAAATAGCTAGTGTATGCCATGGATTTCTTATCCTGTCTCTGACAGTGCCTAACAAAGCATCTAAGGTGTTTAGAAGAAACTGGAAAATAAACTAGTAAGGATTAGCACATGCCACAAGAATACTTTTTTTCTCCACAATGGCTGGTTTAGTTAGATTAGGGTTATGAAGTATGAGGAGTTTGTGCCCCTTCTGGAAATTCTTAGTGCCATATGGAAGAACTGCATAAGTTCTCAGTGTCTTCCTTTAATTCTGCGATTTCAGTATCTCGGAATCCTGGAACAACTAGAACACAAACTGACTTGGGTTTGTTGTAAGGCAGTTAGTCTGACACATGTGATACTCATTGATTATTCTGGATAGGCAGCATGACTCATGCCATGAAGGTTCAGGAACCACTTGCTTGGAGATTACAGGCGAGAGCCAGACCAATTAAAACAATTCTGATTTAATTATGCTGATGGCTCTGTGGAAAACTGAAATGAATGACCATTTCAGAACAGCAATAGAGTATGGTGTGTACAGCGCATCACCAAGGTGAAAGTAGAATCATGTCACTTACCTACCAGTAGATTTATACTTGCTAGGATTGTAAAATATATCAGTGAAGATGTCAGAAAGTGCCAAAGATCAGGCTTCCCTTGCAGTTATGGCTTTTGCAAATGTTTGTCCCAACAGGATCCTTTTTACGTAGTGTTATCCCCTCACCGATCCCTTGCCTGTGTCTGCGTGCAGGTGGATAGACGTGTTTTAGCCATCATGTAAATATGGAACTAATACAAGTTGACCTAGAACAAAAGGGAGAGGGTCAGACAGATCTCTTGTGAAAGAGGTGTTAATACCTGTAACGTAACTCATTTCTCAATAGCAGAGTATTCTTAATTGTTGAAGGCCTGCCTGTACATATGGGGAAAATGTACAATAATTATATACTTCATCAAAGTGTACTTTCAACAGAGAATCTGATCAATTGAAATTAATAGATTACACCAAACCAATGAAAATATCCTAGTACTACTCAAAATGGTCAGTATCACCTAGAACAGCTCATACCTGACTCTTGTTTTATTTTTAGTGCCTATGGAGGGTTTTGTCCCTAACAGGACACACATGAAGAACCTACTGTCATAGTCACTGTTGCAGAGGATTCAGTATATTAACTGTAAAGGAGTGCAGTAGTTGCACTGTGACTAACTAACTTCTAAAATGCCTGTTAGCAAGGAATAAACTAAATTATACTTGCTATTTCTGCCAGCTTTCTCATCTTAGAATTTTGAGGGGCTGTAGGTGCTTATTTAATGACTCATTCTACATGTTGAACTTAATGAAGAACAATAGAGCCTCTCTCTGAGTTCCAAATGGGGGAATGAAGGAAAGAAAGACCAAGGTAGTCTTGCCCTTCCACCTTTCTCCTATCTCCCTGTTTCCGTAAAACAGGTCTGTTTGTAGTGAGACACACTTGATAGTTTCCTGTCATACACTGCATCCAGTTGTTGAGTTAGTTTCTCAAGCTCAGCTTGTGTGGGAAGTAGAGCATCCATGGCTGATTGCCTCTTGCTGGGCAAAGAGAAAATACAGCTGTGATTTGTTCATTCCCGACGCCAGCAGGTCAGAAAGAGTGTCTTTCAGATACTGAAAGACAAGATACAGAGGGGCAGTGGAGGGGCTCAAAGTGGAAAGCTCTTCTGTAGGAGATGTGGTTGCATTTCAGGAAGGCCTGTGTAGGAGGATGAGGTTGCAGCTGTAGAAGAGACAGCAAGTGCACACAGGACAAACTGAGAGAATAATCAAGAAGGAAGTCAGATCTTTTGAGCCTTGGGAGGGAAACCAGTCTGGAGGATGTACATTGCAATAAAGGGGTAGAAAAATGGAAGATGAATAGTATGCAGGAGGTCTTTTGAGGTAAAGAAGAGTAAGTGTGTGGAGAAAGGGGAGCTAAGAGTGGTCTGGGAAAACAAGTATTTACCTGGCAAAGAGCTGAGGTGGAAATAAACAGAGAACTGGGCAGGGGGATGAAGGAGAGGGAAGAGGAGAATTCTTCCAGATATGAGAAGTACAGAAAAAGTCGATGTATTGAAGTGGGGAAATGTTCATCAAGTTCGCATTGCTCAGGTGGTGGCTATCACTACAAAATTCTTCAGTGCTGCTTGTGTATTATATAAGATTATGGGTATCGGTTATGCTACTGAGACTGACAGCTAAGGAGAGCAGGTAATGAAAGAGGCTAGTTTTTCCTGCTTTGCCCTCTCCATCAGAGGTCAAAATGATGCCTTTCATTGATGTTGAGCCTGAAGTCATGTTTGATTTTCATGAAGACTCAGGGTGGCTCTTGAAAGCAAGCAGTCAGCTGTGCCATGTCTGCCTATCCCTGTGCTTCTGCCAGCAGCTGATCACTCGCATGATGAAGAGATGGAGGAACTGAGCCAGATGAACACCAGCCTGGCAAGAAAGCATTATCTAGACCCTGCGTTTTGAGTTTGTTGGGAGGCAGAAGTTCTCTGTTGCATGCTCTGATTTCTTCTTTATGTTGAATTTTAGGATACACATCGGGGGCTTTTTATCCAGCAGCTGCGGCACACACAGAATCCACAGCCCCGGATCAAGCTGAAGTTGTTTGGATACTCTGGTTCTGGGAAAACAACCCTTGTGGAGTCTCTCAAGTGTGGCCTGTTACGAAGCTTTTTCCGAAGACGTAGGCCTAGGCTCTCCTCCGCAAACTCAACCAGATTCCCTCCATCTCCTTTGTCTTCCAAACCTTCAGGTATGGCTTTGAAGCTGTGACATTTGAACAAAATACCATCTTCCTCTTAGTCTGTGTAGCTTCTAAGGAAGAGCTGTGGGCTGCGCTGTGAAAGACAGGACAGGCTAAGAATGTAAGACAAATTGTTTATTATGAAAAGAGTTTTGGTTAAGGGCTTGTGTTGCTCTCCCAGGAAACCAAAGCAAAGTGTAGAGGATATTGACTTCTCTGTGCACAGACTTGTAACGAAAGAGGAGCAGCAGGGGTGGAGGGTGCAGGACTAGTTGTTTGCTTATTCATGCATAATGAATATGGAGGGTGGACAGGACTTGTGAACACTGGTGTTTATTTTTCATAAAGGTTACAAATGCCAGTGTCATGACCAAATTCCAGCATCATGGCTGGGGAGGTTATGTCTTCTCAGCCTTTTTAGTTCAGTGGCTTCAATAAAGTCAGTGCAAAATTGGAACAGTTGTTGCATCTTTATGCAATCTTTAAGTAATAACAGAGGATTCAGAACTGCCTCTGATGCCTTGGAGTGCTTTTTCATAAAATACAGTAGTGCACTAGCTCAGTTAGAGGTGTCTAAAATTGTCTCCAAACAAGGTGAAAATGGAGGTTTTCTAACTCAAGTAAAAGTGTATAAATTATACTGAAACTTTGGCCATGTGGCACCAGTTAGCCTGTGTGAAGTGGGAAGTGCTGCAGGGTGTGGAGGAACCAGCTAGGTTTACACTTCAGCATGTGCCCAGCTTTGGAAGAACCAACAGTTGTGGCAGAAGAGCACTGAAAAACCTAGGCAATTATTGGACCAGGTCCCTTTCTAACACTGAGAGGCTGTACAGTGTGTACAAGCTAAGCAGACGCTTGGAAGAGCTCAAGTTTAGATTGGCTTAGTAAGAGAAGGTACCTGGCACAGAGGTTGTGACTGCATTTGCTGTTTACTTAACCCAAGGGGTTTGCATCTGTGACAAAAGAATAAAGGAAATGATTAAATGAATCCACCAGAAGTTCTTGGTATAGTTAAATTACTGTGTCATGCGAGGGCAGGTAAGTCACTCAAGGAATATCAGTTCCTGGAGCCATTGCAAGAAGGTCTTGACTGAAGACAGGTTTGTTGTTTTTTTTTTTTTTTTTATGTTGATTGGTACCAGAAACAGAGAGTAGGTGTTATGGGCTCTCACCATCATAAAATCAGACAAGATTGCCAGTCACACTGGCAAATTGTTGTGGGAAAAAGTGGTGAATTTGAAACACTTGAAAATAGCTTACCTAGATATAAAGCCAGAAAGTTCTGCAGTGCTGTACACACTAGAAACTTGTGCAGTTCTATGCAAACAAAACCTACTACAGTGATGTTTGAAGTTCTGGTTTTTTCTTGTTTCAGTATCTGTTCTTTTGGATGAAAATCATTATCTGACATGTAAATAACGTTATGGATTGAGTGGCATAATCCGATAAACGTTTAAACCAGCACAATTTGGTCATGTGCGTGTCATGTGCTTAGGTTTGTTTAAATTCTGTAAAAATAAGTGTGTGAATTCACCATGTGTTTATTTACAAGAGCCAAAAGATTTAAATAGTAGAAAATCAAGCAGTAGAAGATGAAATGTGAAAGTATAGTCTTACAGCTGACGGGTATCTATATTAAAATGAGATACTAGAATTCAGCATTTAGTGGAGGAAAGAAATTATTACTTTCTCCACTAGATGGTGCAAGTCAATTAAAAAGCCTTTTTGTTTCTGATTTACTTTTGACAAATTCTTTATTATTAAAAGAATTTTGGTTAAGGGCTTGCATTGCTCTCCCAGGACTCAGTTGTTACACAGTGATTTTATCTCCTTACAGGAATCAACTAGATGAATATGTAGCATTTCCGTGCCAATAATAATAGAACATGCTATGAAACTGCAGCCCTTAGCTAAAAAAGCAGTATGTCTTTGTAATGTAAAACTTTAACCATTGAAACTCTTCATTCCCAAATAATTCTTTTTTTTTTTTCTGTGCTTCCCTGTGCTAAAGGGCAATAAGTGCTAAATGGGATCATTCTAATATTTTCTGTTTCATCATCCAGAATAAGGATGGAGTTACATATATTCACAGCTTGGTGGTCATCTCCTTCCTTTGAAGAGCAGTTTGGGGTTTTAATCAGCTTTTATGCCTTGCATACTTATTTTGAAGTGATCTGGTTGTGATTTTCACATGGTTTGTAATCTCATTTTCCTTTCCCTGACCCAGTTTCAGTAAGCATTACAAATCTTTATCCTGGTTGTGAGAATGTCAGCGTGAGAAGCCGTAGTATGATGTTTGAGCCAGGCCTGACCAAAGGGGTATTAGAAGCTTTGGTTGTACCTGCTCATCACTCTCCTTTCTCTGCTGATGACCAGTCCACCAAGGCCATTGACATTCAAAACGCATATTTGCATGGTAAGCAGAGCCCTGGGCTAGTGTGTCTCAATGCTGTGTTAATGCCATGTTGCTTGTTTTGAAAAATAAAAATGGGGGAAAAAAATTATGACTTGGTGTGGTAGCGACTGTGATTGAGAAGGCAACACTGCGGAGGTTTGGTTTGTTTAAACAGAAAGTAAATCTGCATGAAGTTCTGTCCCTGTAATGCATATAGTAATCACTTGTGTCAGATCATTATAGTGTCATATAGAAGTGACTTTGGAGTGTGTAAGTGGGGCAGGAGGGATTTGGGAAAAATAAGGGTGGGTTGGCAATCCTGCTGCTAGTGTGAAGGCTTCTTTACCTATATGTTATATATATGTCCTTTGGGGATTTTATCAGATTCCATCTGGTCTCATAGACCAAAGTGTCCTCACCATGTAAGTGGTTTCCAGCTGTATAAAGGACCTCGGATTCTCACCTCATGACAGGGTTGACACGTTTGGTGAGCCCTAGAGGTCACCAACCATGGTGAGTGGAGCTTCTGATGTCATTTTTTTTTTAAAGGAAACTAACTGCTCTGCAGTTGCAACCATTAGCAAGCAGTAAGAGAGGTCAGTCAGAGAAGTTGCCATAAGTGCATACATGGCTTTTGACTTTGAGGACCATATGAATTGTGCGTATACATCACCAGCCATACTAATCATTGTATAGCTGGTAAGATTTCTCCGAGTAGGATCCCTTCTTCACGAAGAAAAGGTTTTGCGTGCCTTAGTAGCTGTAGCTTTAAGGCTGCATTAGGATTAATTGAGATTGTATTTTGGAGAGAAAAACCTATTTGTGAATGCACTACATGCATGCTAGCACATGCGGTGACAAAACACTTGTCCTAGACGCTGAAGAGTTTGCCATGTAGCTGAAGCGTGTTCTTCGTCCAGCCAAATTTCCTCTTTCAGTGCAATTTGAAACCAAGTCAAATTCTGAGTGAAACAGTTGTGCAAAACACTGTCAGAGGGGTTTCTTCCCTTCCTGTGTGCTCTCTTGATATAGAATAGATGCGTGCCCATGGGTGAACTCTGAATAGCTGTAGTTGTAACAGTAGATCTAGGGTTTCAGGCTTCTTCCAGAAATTTGAGGTGTATCTTACTTAACATTTTTTTAAATAGAGGGTAGTACAATTGTGGCAGACTTCACCCTAACCAGGTGGTGTGTCATACAGCACAACACACTACTGCTTTTCTCACCTGAAGCTACGGGAGGTGGCAGAAAGAAGCACAGTGCTGTTGGAATCCTTAACATGGTGATTCCTCAGTCCTGACTTAACAAAATGATGTGAATAGTACAATTCTGTGAAGTACAGAGGCTTCTTTGAGAATGGTCGTCAGCTCTTTTTAATACTAGCAGTGGCAAGTTAAGAGGACAAATTGATAAAATTGTTAAGCTATTTGGGGTGAGCAGGAAAAGAATGGGAGCCGTCATTCTTGTTTTTGAAGGGAATTATGAGATCCATTGCTGTTGTGCAAGGCAAAGGCCAATCTAGTGTGTAAGGCTGCATGTGTTTAATACACAGGTGCTGCCATGTGGCATCCAGCTGAATGTCCTAGCGGAGGGAATATAAGAGAGGAACAGATTTTGAGGACCCAGCTTCTCAGCCTCTGAGACTGACTGAGACCTGTTCCCTTTGTTCATGATTGCATTTGCAGTCTTACTTTTTCACATGCATGCAGTTCATCTTTGTGAAAGTTTAAATCGGATTAACTCTTTTGTTTGTCTTTCCATGGATGAAAGATGCGATCTCTTCATTTGTTTGTCTGTTTTTCAGGAGTTGGTGATTTCAGCATCTGGGAATTCTCTGGGAATCCTGTGTACTTCTGCTGTTATGATTATTTTGCTGCAAATGATCCCACTGCAATTCACACAGTGCTTTTTAGTCTTGAGGAGCCTTATGAAATCCAGTTAAACCAAGTGACCTTTTGGCTCAGTTTCCTGAAATCGTTAGTCCCAGTTGAGGAGCCCATAGGTATGTTCTTCTGCCTGTTAATGAACTATTAGGGGACTGCAGAAAGAAGCTTCTTGTGTTTCTCTGCTACTTTGTACATCCTCTGTGTTGAGTACTGTTATGCATCTTCATCCCCATGTACTGAAACAAACTTTACAAAAGGTTTCTCACAGAAAGGGATTTTTATCTGCAACAAGCCTGAAGTACATGCCACATAGTCCATTGAAAAAGGGTCACAAGGTACAGTGCAGCCACTTGTGGCCCTGGGACTTATATCTGTAAATTCATCTATCCGTAAATAATTGCAGATGAAATTTTAGATCAGATAAGATGCACAAAAAAGTATTTCAAAGGGTTGGAAGCATATAAAAACAGTTTTAGAGGCATGGCTTAAATTCTACTTTTACCTACCACCATTAAGAATGTTTCCAGCATAAATTAGTCTTGTCAGTGAGAGCAGGACAGAATGACATTGTGGAGTGGTGTTACCTCTCAGTATCTGCAACTTTGACATGTTTAACTAGAGTTGCATTTGAACTTCAAATATGTTCATCTTTTGGTGTGTCAGGGTGTACAGATACCAGTATTTTTAGTAAATTTCATTTTACATGGTATTAGACCTTGCACAAGTTTTAAGTAAGTTTACTTGTTCTATATTCAAGCCTTCTAACAAATTGAAAGTTACCTGGCAGTCAAACAAATAACTTTTGTTTGTTCTAAAAATATCTGTAGGTCTGGGTATATTTAACATATAGTTTGTTTTTGTTGTAGCTGAGCATTGGTCTGCTAACTGTGATAGTTTTCTGGATGAAACAAGCTGTGGTATGGGTCTTGGTTCTATGAGCTGAAATGTTATTCCAGCCAGTGGATCTAAGTCAGCATTCATGAATATTTATAACACTGCTAGGGACTCACCAGACAAGCATATTAAATACCTACATAGTGCAAAGATTATTCCCCCTCTCTTTCTGTGTTCTCCTCGATTCTGTATGCATTATCTCAGCCAGATAATGATGATCCAAGGCAGACTCTCAGTTCAGGCATCTGCATGACTTTTATTTTCCATTTTGGATATAGTCACAAGGTTGACAATATGAGCATTTGCCTCTAACCAATGTGAAGTTACTTCTGAAAGTAAAAGCTCAGAAATTTACAGAAAAGTATCAAAGCTGACTAATACCATTCATTTGTAATTGTTGAAAGCTTTCCATGGCTCCTCAGTCTAGCGAGGAAACATAGTGTTCGGTTTGACTCAGTTAGGACATGTGTTAATCATTTATTCTTGCTCATCTAATATCAGTATTGTTTAGCTACTTCATTTAAATCCGTGTTTACAGTAGTCAGCTCATTTTGAGTACCCATGCATTTTTGTATTCTAAGTCTCTCAAGTAATATGTAGTAACTGATGTTAGCAGAACACTTAAACTTTTTGGCATACAGTTACTTAGTCCTTCGGCTGCCAAAAAAAAATACAAAATACTTACCTTGAGGTGCTATGCAGAGATTTGGGGAAATGTGGCTTTTTATAAAAGAATCAAGATTCTGTAGCTCTTAGCTGATGAAAACTGAGCAGTGATGTAAGCATATTTATCGTATGTGAAGTTTTTTTTCAGATAGAACGGCAAGATTGCATGTACTGTCTTTTTTTAAAAGAGTCTCATAATGTGTCCTATCTTCTGGAAGACAGTTTGAGAAAAGATTGAAAATTCTGTGTTCATTCCATCACCGCATTCATGCCATTTGTGTCTTTCTTTCTTTCTCATTCTTCTTCATGGTTTCTGCCAGGCTTTCCTACTTAACTCTCACTTAAGTGAGAGGTCATTGTTTGTGTAAGTACTGCAAAATAGCATTCATACCAGCATATGAATGTTGTAGATATTTTTATGTTTTACTTATAATCCTCTACTCTGCGCCTTTATTATTAAGGGCCTTCCAAAGATTATGAGAAACCCTTTCAAGAAGCTGTTATTTTTAATTACTTTTCCCCAGTGTCATAGTTTGTAGCTAATGTATATGTATGTATATCTCATTAGTGTTATGGATTAATGTTTGTGTTAATAAAATCATGTACTGTCAGTGCATCTGATGGCATTCAAAGAGTCTCACTATTCAAACTGGATGTTATATAAATAATCTTATAGGCAGATAACAGCCAGAGCACCAGCTGTGTAAGCTCTGTATTGGCTGTGCTTGGAGTTGGTGATTGATACTACAGTAAAATTGATCTGAGGAATGTAAAACCACTTTCCTGGCTCAGCAGGACAGCCATCTCCATAGGCGTGATTGACAATGAGGACATGCTCTTGTTTCTCTTCCTAGCATTTGGTGGAAAGCTGAAAAGTCCCCTGCGTGTTGTTTTGGTTGCCACACACGCTGACATAGTGAATCTTCCACGGCCTGCTGGGGGAGAGTTTTGGTATGACAAAGATATGTCGCTGTTGAAAGAAATCAGGAACAGGTAAGTGGGGAGTGTATTTATATGTAGTGTTTAAACATGTCAGTTTGTAAAGAAAAAGGAATATTGGCCAAGAAGGCCAATGGCATCCTGGGGTGCATTAGAAAGGGTGTGGTTAGTCGGTCAAGAGAGGTTCTCCTCCCCCTCTATTCTGCATTGGTGAGGCCACATCTGGAATATTGTGTCCAGTTCTGGGCACCTCAGTTCAGGAGGGACAGGGAACTGCTGGAGAGAGTCCAGCGAAGGGCTACAAAGATGATTAAGGGAGTGGAGCATGTCCCTTATGAGGAAAGGCTGAGGGAGCTGGGTCTCTTTAGCCTGGAGACAAGGAGACTGAGGGGTGATCTCATCAATGTTTATGAGTATGTAAGGGGTGAGTGTCAGGAAAATGGAATTAAGCTTTTTTCAGTGTTGACCTGTGATAGGACAAGGGGTAATGGGTGCAAATTGGAGCATAGGAGGTTCAAGGTGAATATCAGGAAAAATTTTTTCACTGTGAGGGTGACAGAGCACTGGAACAGGCTGCCCAGAGAGGTTGTGGAGTCTCCTTCACTGGAGTCATTCAAAACCCACCTGGACGCCTTCCTGTGTGATGTACTCTAGGTGACCCTGCTCTGGCAGGGGGTTTGGACTAGATGATCTTTCGAGGTCCCTTCCAATCCTTATGATTCTATGATATGTAAGAGGGTTTTATGTGGCTTAAGCTTTGTGATACTATGATATTTTGAGTTTGTCGAGGAAGCTTATATTGTGCAAAAACTGAAACATTTACCAATATTACAGTGAATGAGCTACCTTAAGTGAGCTAAAGTGAGACAAGTGGTGCAAAAGTGAATTGAGGCTTAGGAAGTCTCACCCTGTAAACACTGGGGTATATCCAAAGGCCAGTATCAGTCATCTCTCTGACCTCTTGCTACTCGGGTTTTGTACCAGTCTCAGAAAAGTGGGCAGTTCTCAGCTACAAACTCTGAGTGCAAAAGACAAAGTTTTACAGGAGGGCGACCCTTTCCTCTGAACTGATTTAGGATGGGTAGGGAAAAAACTTAAACTGGACTTGGAGGTTGTCCCTACATAGTTCGTGAAGACCTGAACATTATAGAGTCACACAAGTGACAAGGTGATCCAAGAAGTTGGTCCTTAGAAGTTAGGGAAATTTCTATCCTCCAACAAATGTTTGGAGAGCACACCAGTTGTATATGGGAATGGGGAATTTTTCACAAACTTACTATTACATAAAGTGGCAATATCTTATAGTCACAGCAAGCATGTAATTGAGTAACACGTGGTATAGGGAACCATCCTGAACTGTAAGCATAGACACTTGACTGGACTGTACAAGAAACAAATGTAGGAATTCCACCACAACAGTGGCAGGGCAGTGTCTTAATTAACTGAAATGAACCAACAGAAAATATCTTTGCCTAATCTTTGGATTTTGAATCCTTTTAAATGCAAATTAGACCAGAGCTAGTAAAACAAGTATGCGCGATTCAAAAGTCAAAAGGAAGCAAGAAAGAGCTGGTGTCAGTAGCAATGACAACTGAACTGTTTAAAGTGGGAATAAAACAGCAAATACAAAGACCTTAAAAATAACTAATTCCTGCTATCCCTTCTCTAGTAAAATGTTTACGTTTGTAAGTACAAGTCCTTTGCAGTTGTAATTTTCTTACACATCTTCAGCCTTCTTCCTTAGGAAGTGCAACAATTTTCTCTTAATATCTGTCTTTATTTTCAAGAATATTGGAGAGCAGCTACACTGTCTGACTGACTGTGCTTATAAAATACCTTCACGTAATCAGTACTTGAAGTTTTTCATTGTGCCTTGAAGAAAAATAACTCTTGTGTAACTTAAGACTCAAGTATAACTGTCTTAAGAAATAAAACTGGATTTGGGTCTAAAGATAATTGCTTGCTTTTTCCCTTTTAGGTTTGGAAATGATCTGCATATTTCAGACAAGTTATTTGTCATGGATGCTGGAGCATCTGGGTCTAAAGATATGAAGCTTCTCCGAAATCACCTGCAAGAAATAAGAAGCCAGATAATTTCTGTAAGTATTGTCTAATGGCCTGGGTTGGGACAGCCAAAATGTGAAAATCGTGTGTAATAATTAACTGTAAATTTAGTACTTACATTATGAAATTTTAAAAAATGTGTGCTGTTCTAATTTTTTAGCAGCATGCATGACAGGCCTGGTGATAAACAAACTCCTGACACCAGACTCAGTCAGCGTTTTCAGCATTTTAGGTGTTCTTTACAGGTCACCAAAATGATCTCTCCTGAAAGGAAATTATTTGAGACTTTCAGTTCAAAATTATAGTTTCGTATTTTGAATAGACAGTGATTTGATTCCAGTGTTGATCCTTTTTTCTTAAATTGTTTTTAATCTTTTTCCATCATCATACTACTGCATAAAAACAGGTGATATTTCAGGCAAATACATTTTTTGTAAAAAAAGAAAATAAATAAGAAAACCAAATGCCAAAATAGAACATTTTGCTCAACTGTTAAAAAGATAATTTCCAATTTAGATATGTGAACTGAATATGCATTAACATTTTATCACACTTTTTTTGTAGAAAAATATGTGCTTGGAGTTGTATGAGTATGTGTAGGTACATGTATATGAGACTAAAGGTAAAAGACCATGGTTTTATATTTCCATCATGAATGCACAGAGACTTCCATATTGAGGGTGTCTAAGTCAAGTTATGCAGCCTGTGCTAAACGGATTCAAATTTCTTCATACCAAACAAAGGTCCTCTTACCTCAATGACATACCAACAAGACTTTCTGCAGCTACTTCTGATAGCTATTTTTTATAAAATGAATAAAAAGTTCATGTATTAGTGAGTTAATTTTGTAGATTGAGGGAAGTGTTTTGGTTTATGCAAAATTCAGCCTGTTTTGCATTCCAAATGATCTCTTGATATAGTAAACTTTTCTTCTCTGACAAAACTTTATTGTAGCCATGGTCATTAGCTTGAAATCTGGAGGGCTTTGCTGCCTACAAAATGTGTGCTATGGCTTGAGAGCACAGGATGAAGGCATCAGTGATGTCCAAGACAATCAACAGATAGAAGTACCATCTTTACTTCTTACCTAGTATCCTGCTGTCTCACCTGTTGAAGTCGTTGGTTCTGTGCAGATATTGACGAGTTCAGATTTTAGTTAAGCGTTTCTGAAATAAAATTTGCTTTCAGACGCATGAAGGCAATAAATACATTTTGAAGTCACTGTTTCATGTGGTCAGCACGTTTAACAGTTCAGGACTATAGAAAACAAACCTTGTTCCACATATCAGGATTCTTTTTGTAATCATGGTGACGACTGGAAAGTTTGCTTATTTTAGGAAAAAAAAAGTGATTCTGGAATTGACTTCATTAAGAAAAGGTAGAACTTAGGTCAAATGCATGCCAGGTGGAAGAGTAAGGGCTCATCACAAGAGGAATTCTTTAGATGAGAATGTACTTAACGAACACATTACATCACATAACCTCCATTTAAAAAAAACCAACCAAAACCAACAGCAGTAGTACTGTTATTCTTAGCAGAGTAAAATTACAAATGGATCTTTTCTGTGCTTTTGTAAGACTTGCCCACCTATGACTCATCTGTGTGAAAAAATAATCTCCACACTGCCTTCCTGGAGAAAAATGAATGGACCCAACCAGCTGATGTCCTTGCAGCAGTTTGTATACGATGTACAGGAACAGCTCAATCCTCTAGCAAGTGAAGATGACCTACGGCATATTGCACAGCAGTTGCACAGCATCGGAGAAGTAAGTGGCTTTATCTAAATTGCATCTCTTTATTAGCAAGGTGCTGCTCTGATGGACATCTACTTGAATCTCATTAAGCAATATTCTGTAGTTAGCTTTTTTTTTCCTCCTCTCTCTTAAGACATCCTACGACGCAGAGACTCAGTTCTCCGCTCTGTTCTCAATACCTCCAAGGAATTAAAATGCGCCGCTTGTTTTAATTCTGTCAGCAGTGTTGGTTAAATCATTGGGTCAGTAAGTTAGGAAGGAGAGAAGGTGGGGTATCGTCTTCTACTTCACAAGGTGCAAATAGTAACTCTCCTGTTTATGATCAGATTAACATTATGCAGAGTGAAACTGTCCAAGATGTTGTGCTTCTGGATCCTCGCTGGCTCTGTTCAAACGTCCTTGGAAGAATCCTGTCAGTGGAGAACCCAAAAGCCCTCCATCACTATAGAGGTCGGTACACCCTAGAGGACATCCAGCGTCTGGTGACAGATAGCGATGTGGAAGAACTGATACAGATTTTGGATGCCATGGATATTTGTGCAAGGGACCTCAGCAGTGGGGCTATGGTGGATATTCCTGCTCTCATAAAGACTGACAGTCTCCACAGATCTTGGACAGATGAGGAGGATGAGGTGCTGATTTATGGTGGTGTTAGAATTGTTCCTGTGGAACATCTTACCCCGTTTCCTTGTGGAATTTTTCATAAAGTTCAGGTGAATCTCTGCAGGTGGATTCATCAGCAAAGCACAGAGGGAGAAGCTGATATACGTCTGTGGGTAAATGGATCAAAGATTATGAATCGTGGAGCTGAGCTTTTAGTGCTGCTGGTCAACCATGGTCAGGGTATAGAGGTTCAAGTTAGAGGACTGGAAACAGAGAAGATCAAGTGCTGTTTACTTTTGGATTCTGTATGCAGCACCATTGATAACTTAATGGCCACAACCTTACCAGGCCTTCTGACTGGGAAATACTACCTTAGTCCTCAGCAGCTGAGGGAGCATCATGAACCAGTAATGGTCTACCAACCTAGAGACTTTTTCCGTGCACAGAGTCAGAAGGAGACATCACTAACTAACACTATGGGGGGATACAAAGAGAGTTTTAGCAGTATTCTGTGTTTTGGCTGTCTTGATGTCTACTCCCAGGGAAGCCTAGGAATGGATATTCATGTTTCTGATCTGAATCTGCTTACCAGGAGAAAACTAAGTCGCCTTTTGGATCCACCCGATCCTATGGGCAAAGATTGGTGCCTTCTGGCCATGAACCTGGGCCTCCCCGATCTCGTTGCAAAGTACAATACAAATAATGGAACACAAAATGACTTTATCTCAAGCCCAGTCCATGCCCTTCTGCAGGAGTGGAGTAATGCTCCTGACAGCACTGTAGGTATCCTAATGTCTAAACTGAGGGAGTTAGGTCGCAGGGATGCAGCAGACTTTTTAGTGAAGGCATCTTCTGTGTTCAAAATAAATTTAGATGCTAATGGTCAAGAGGCTTACGCTTCGAGCTGCAACAGTGGCACGTCTTACAACTCCATTAGCTCCGTGGTGTCTCGGTAAGAGCAGGCGTGCCGCACAGACGTCTTCCCAAACCACAGAAGGCATAAGTCATGCAGCACAGGATGTCTGTGCATTTCCATTTTTGAGGTTTTACATCAAAGGATCTTTGTCCTTCTCCCGCACCACCTTTCTGTGCATAGAATTCCTGTTTCTAACTGTGAATCGTTGCTTTTTATCTATTAAAAGGCTGGTATACTTCTGGTGTTCTAAAATTATTCCTTATACGTAATGTGCTGCTTAATACTGCCATTTTAACTGGAAAGTCTTAACTTTTGGATTACGTACTGCAACTGTTTTATAAAATATTTCCAAATCTCCCCATAAAAAGTAGGGGGAGAGGAATAGCACATATTACCTGAAGCGTGTATTTCTTACACCCATTTTTCTTCTTTTCATCGTGTCCTCTGCTTAACTTTTTTTTTTTTTTTTTAATATTTGTAAGGAGAGAAATCCACCATTTGTGGTCAGTCTGACTGAATTTAAAACCACATTGTTTATAGCTGAAAAAGCGAGTGCCTTTTGCAGAAGGGAGGGTGCAGTTGATTTGAATGACCCTGCTGGAGTTAAAAGAACATGCTACCTCTGTTTCACTTAAATTGTCTGCATGCTTATCATTGCAAGTGGTGCTTGTGCTTGCCTTTTAATTTTTCCTGCACTTCTAAGACATTGGTGATGACTCACGCAGAAGCGTTCTTGTGCCAGTACTATGGATATAGACATGTGATACCTAATCGACTTCAATTAGAGTCAAATCACAATGTGAAAATCTCTTAAACTTGCCAATTATCATGCTTCGTTATTTCCATACACCTCAGGTAAAAGTTCATATCATTATAGACTTCAAAAAACCACAAGTGTTGGATACTGCAGAATAATACTGTAGAGCTGTCAGTTGTAATTTCTGTATAACAACAGCTTTTTACTGTTAGATCCTGCATTACTTACTTCCTGTACTTGAAAACTTTGATGGGGATAAAAACAAAAAGGAAGCAAGGTTTCTTGCAGTGATAACTTTTAAATTGATATGAGGGAATATGACCCATTCTCTGTTTGAAAAAGCATGTAATTTTAATGGTGCGGTGTGTGTTTGTTTATATATATTGTATGTACATATATTAATACTATTTTTTTTCCTTAATCTTACAATGTAGTAAAATTTTGAAGGATTTTTCTACAAATAAACTGTTGCTTGTTGCATCCTCATCTTTCGTGTTCTGTAGCTGAGAGGGACTGAAACTTCACAGTCGTAATCCTGCAGAGGATTCTGAACTTGGGGGACAGCCTGCCTCACTTCAGGGGGATTCCTCAGTATGCTGGAGGAATACTTATTTATCTGTTTACTGCCGGGGTGGTCCCTCCACAGCAGAGGGATTTGCATTCGTTTTGACAAACGGCGAGCCAAAGCGGTCTGCTACGTGGCTTTTCCTTTGTGTTCTGTCACAATGGAAACCAAAACAGCAGATGTGAGTC